CCCGTGTGGGATGTCGCAGAAGTTGAGCCTTTGACGGGGATGCTGTCATTAAAACCCGATGTTTGGAGTATCTTGGCCAACAATGGTTTTTGGGAGCCGACTCCGAGGCTCAATAACTGGTGGATCATTTTTCGATTGTCTATCCGGAAGTCTCTCAACAACGAGATGCTTGGCCGTAGCTATGGATTTGAGTGCGGTGAACGATGTGGTATGTTTGGTGTTAATTCCACTGTGTGGGTTATGCATATGGAGGCGTGTACATGTGCCTTTGTAGCAATTCAATCCTTGCCCATGATTATGTTTACCATCGGGATTGTTGGACGACATTCATCCTTCGTGTTCGACCGGGGAAAACGACGGGGTTTCCTACCGTGAGTTCGACACCACACGCCGGCCACGGAGCGCATCGGCTTCGAGGGCGAAGCCTTCCGAACCGGAGGAGAATGGTGTAGATTAGTATCTATTATTATTATTATAATATTATTATTATTATTTAATAGGTGTCTTAGAGAGTAAGTTAGTAATTTAATATTATTGTTTATTATTTAGTAAGAGTTTTTGTATTGTTGGACAAGTTAAGGTCCAAGGTTAGGAGCCTTATATAAAGGACTCCCTTTAGTTTATTTTCATCAGTTGATTATTGAAATGAAATAAGATATTCGTGAGTTTTGTGAATTTTATCGAGAGAGTATCTCGTTTATTCTTTCCCACTCGTACGCTTCCCTATATCACTAAGTCTTGCATGCTTTCACATTGCACACTATAATTTTTAAAATCATGAACAAATAGTCTTCACCCTGAAATTAATTAAATAAATTTAAAGACGACTCCTTTTGCAATCAAAGCAAGCACCTAACTTATTATAATTCATAAATTGTGGCTATATTTTATACTTATAACTACAAGTTTGCACTTGAAAAATTGAATCATATCCCATGATCAGTATATACATACAATTGTACGGTAATAAAGTGCCCACAAGGATCGAATTTTCCATTTACATTACTGTTTTTATTCCTAAAATACCAAAATTCAATCCCTAACCAGCTTTCTATTTTGCCATGAATTTTCATCTCATTTGATTCATTGATTGTTAACTACCAAAAAGGTTTAGGCCACCAAACTTGCAGAGACCCTATAATTAAGTATAAAATGGAGAAATAACTTAAAGAAATAATATTAAGAAAAAGAAAAAGAAAGAAAAACAATTAAAGTATTAATTTATGATCCTGAAAGTAGAAAGGCTTAAACAATTCTTGACTTTATGATCCTGAAAATAGAAAGGCTTTCTCTGTTTTCTCAATCTGAACGTTGACGGTCAATAATTTTTTTCTGAAGATAACTTTATGTTATTCCAATCTTTTTTGTTTTCTTCAATTATGACACTTATTCATTGAAGTAACTTCAAGTAATTTGTTACTTCAATTTTCTAATTAGGCGTGCATATGGATTTCTTGAAGAAAATAGAGATAAGCATATATATAAGTAGAAATATATATAGTAGTTAAATGATTTGAGCCGCTCGTGAGTTCAACTTGGTTCCGATCATTAAGACTCAAGTTTGATTGGTTTGTTTAAGAAAAAGTTCAGTTGATTTTGGCTTGTTAAGATTCGAGAAATACAATTTTTTATATAATTTTCCAAACTATTATTACTTTAGCTTGTCTATTATAGGTCAAGTTCAACTCGTTATTAATATTGATATATGAGTGAAGTTCGAACTCGTTTATCAATTCGATTAGTTAGTTCACGCTGGGATCGAGTTCGAGTACTATCAGAAGGTTGAGGTATGCTCGGCTCGTTTACATCTCCATATATAAGGAAATTGCAAACCAAAGTTTTGCCATTTAGATGGTCACCAAGTTATCGTTTCAAACGTCAAGTTATGGATACAAATTACAATTGCATAGTCAAATTAATTTTAAAAACTTTCTATGTAGGTTTTTTTTTACTTATAACTATATATCAATAAAAGTTATAAAATATCAACAAAATACAAATAAAAATACAATTTTTATATTCCAAGATCGTAGTATTGCGTTA